TAATTAATCAATTTTATCGTTAAATTGATTATCGTTAAATTGATTATGTTGATCCAACAGTTATATTTATTTTCATGTTTATATGATTATGAATATTCCCTATATTTAATACTTTATATTTATTTTCAACTTTGTATGGTTAAGATTTTTCATGTTCGATGCTTTCACATTAAATATGGAGAATCATAATCATACAAAGATGAAAATAAATATAATCATTGTTAACCGTGAAATTGATTGGTAGTAACATTGTTACAATATCCTACCCTATATATATATATATATATATAGGGGAGGGATCATTTGACTCCAGAGTAAGATTTAAAAGTCTTACTCCTCATCCCAGCCATTGATTTCCGTTCATCCAACGGTTATCATTTATTTGAAATTAATAATTAATTAATGCATTAAATTACTAAATGATAACCGTTTGATGAACGGAAATCAAGGCTGGGAAGAAGAGTAAGACTTTTAAATCTTACTCTGGAGTCAAATGATCCCTCCCCATATATATATATATATATATATATATATATATATATATATATATATATATATGGGGATGGATCATTTGACTCCAGAGTAAGATTTAAAAGTCTTACTCCTCATCCCAGCCCTTGATTTCCGTTCATCCAACGGTTAGCATTTAATAAGTAACAACAATTAATTAATTATTAATTTTAAATAAATGCTAACCGTTGGATGAACGGAAATCAAGGGCTGGGATGAGGAGTAAGACTTTTAAATCTTACTCTGGAGTCAAATGATCCCTCCCCTATATATATATATATATATATAGGGGAGGGATTTTTTGACTTCAGAGTAAGATTTAAAAGTCTTACTCTTCATCTCAGCCTTTGATTTTCGTTCATCCAACGGTTATCATTTATTTGAAATTAATAATTAATTAATTGTTATAACTTATTAAATTATAACCGTTATATGAACGAAAATCAAGGGCTGAGATGAGGAGTAAGACTTTTAAATCTTACTCTGGAGTCAAAAAATCCCCCATATATATATATATATATATATATATATATATATATATATATAATCTTCCGATTACAACAATAACAGCACAACTTTAGTTTTTTTTTTTTTCACTTGGTGAGATTAATTAAATGAATCAAAGGACGTTAATAGCTCATCATTATTATCAATGTAAAAAATATGTCTTCTAAAATAAAAATAAAAAGCAGTTACCAACAGTTGTATAATAATTAAAGAGACGATTAAAAAATAACATAGAAAGGAAATCACTTGGCTATTCAGAGTTACAAAATCAAAATTCATTTGATGTGCACTTAATTAGAAATTAAACAATATATAAAGTTTTTCTTAGGTTGAGATGGATCATACTGATTTCAGTGCTTTGTTTGGCTTATTGGTGACTACTTATATTACCAACCGAGATCTGAATCTACTCAGCAGATTATTGAACAGGTAAATTTGTCGAAGTTAAATCCATTAATTAAGGAAACCTTCGATGCCAGAAGGGTCATATAAAATCTTTTTAACAATGACACTTAATGGCATTGTAAAATTACCTCTAGTTGGTTGGTTTAATTCTACTTTTTAATTCTCAGTCAAAGTATTAGTCTATTGAGTTTAAAACACTAAAGCTCTTTGTCTCTCTCCAAAGAGCTTTTAATTGTAACTAAATCTCAATTTGAGATTAGTCTCGTAGTCGACTCAAAAAGATAAATGTTTTGAAGATATCAGGAGGCGACTCGCTTCAAAAAGATAATTATGATTGATATAAAAAAAAATAAATAGCCTTCATTATTGACAAAAGCACAACCCTAGTATGTGTTGAAGTTCCCTCTATGAAAAGGCTTATGTGTAAAGTGGTTTATCAACAAGAACTATATATATGAATATCTTCCAAAAAAAAAAAACAAGTACTATATGAATAAGAATATATTGTTTGTAAATTGGAATTGGGGGACAAAGTGATCCACACTGTGAAGCAGAATGGAACAATTGGTTAAGTTTAAAGATCACGTTTCGAGATAATGTCACTTTGATAAATACAAGAATATGACATTAATGAATTAAGTAATTAATCAACTACAGAGATAAGGATTTGGGTTTATCCATTTCATGAGATGGAATATTACTAATTGAATGTCAACATGCATATTATAGGCGCGCGGAGTAATTAATTCATGTGATACATGGGACTTTAACAATGGAATATCCAACAAATAACCATACCTAACACGCAAGATTATTAAAGAAATTAAATTGGCTGATTGAAACTTTTGACCGTTCATGTGGTTGAGTTTGTGCATGTACCTTTTATTTCTTATGCTTTTTAAGGGACAGTCTGATTGCTGAACCCGTGCAAAGGGTATTGAGATTGAACAATAGAAAGTAAAAGAGGGTAGAAATTAAACAGAGTGACAGATATATATATATATATATATATATATATATATATATATATATATATATATATATATATATATATATATATATATATTAAGAAAAAAAAGATTTGTGGATGGAGTATAGAATTGGAACTAGTCATTAATAAAAAGATTTTTTTAAGAAAAAAAGATGTTTTACCTTTAACTAGGGATAAATTTGTTAATTGATTAGCTAATAGTATTCTTGACTTTGAATTTCCACTTAGATTTGACAGAAGGTATTATATAAGTTTAATTAACACAATTTTGATGGAATTATAGGCTAAGCCAACAAAAAATATTTGCATCATGTCCCGACACATGATTAGATAATAAGTAAAAAGATTTTATAACGATAGTAGAAAAAAAACTAAAAAAATAATTTTCTCGTGAGATTTGTGGTTTTTACCCATTAACAGATCATTGTAATATTATTTTTATGAAAAATCGATGTGATAATAATAATAATAATAATAATAATAATAATTGAATGCATTACATTATTCTTTATAAGATTCTCGACTTGTGTTTTTTATTTTAAAAATAAATGAAGGTTTTAATATTTTTTATGTTGCTGTAGATAAGAAAATTTATAACAATAAAAAAAGAAAATTAGGATTCGCATATTAATTTTGATTTTTTTTGATTTTTTAAATATTAAAATCCACGTATACAAATCCTAATATAAATATATTTACTATAAAAAAATTTATCTGCTATAAGTGACCAAAACACTTTCACTCAATTTTATCTGACTCTTATTATGCAAACAGACAAACGAAAAAAAGAAATATTATTCCGTACTTGACATGTGTCCAAAAAGACAAACGAAGTGGTTTGATGAGGGACCATGCAGTAGATTCCTCGAGGAATCAACCATTCAAATAACTACAAAAATATATATTTTCCAAATTTGCAATGCCTTTTTGTGGAAGAAGCTCGTGTCAATGTCTCAACATAATTGAAAATTGAAACAAAGGGGAAAAAATGAAAAAACTTAGCAATAATCACAAATATTAATAAGTATATAACAATAATTTTTCATTATTAAATTTATTTTTAGATTTATGCAATATGACAATATAGTTTTTCTTTATAAATTTGTATGATTCAATAATTATGTATATTAATTATTATTTATAAATTGAGCTACACCTACAATAAGAGACAACAAATGAAATATACCTAAAATAATAATCATAAATGAAGGGAGGGGATGCAGAGACTTTTAAGACTTTAACGTTTGCATCGAATAACAATTAATGGCATACAAAAACCAATCACATGATGGCTAACTTAGTGCATTTCATTAAAAAATTTCGACTGAATATTTGTTAATTATTTAACAAACCAATTTTTTTTGTTCTAATATACCTTTAGTTAAAATTGAAAGATTACTTTTTGAAGTTTCAATACAATTTAGTTTGTAAATACTCATAACCATGTTTTAAACTTATGAATGATTTTTTAAATAATTTAAATTAACATTTTTTTTTTGTGTGGGGGGCTATGTTGCACCGACACCAACACGGGACACGACACGCCGACACGTTAATTTTAAAAAATGTCATATTTCGACACGTTAGGACACATTTTGATATTAAATAATATTTTTGATATATATAATATAATTTATATTTAGTACATATAACAGTGCATAATAAATTATATAATCAATCAAATATTCAAATTCCATAATATAAATATAAAGCAAAAGTAATTTTCATACCTTATTAATTTTTTATGTCAAATTCCATAATAGAAAAAAAGTTGACTTATAAATTAATTTTTCATTTTTAGTTAATAAAATAAAATTTAAACTTAAAAAAAATGTCGGATGTGTGTCAGAGCGTTGATTGCATGTCGGAAACATATGTCGAAACGTTGATCGTGTATCCTAAAATATTGACTGCTTGTGGGACGCATGTTGGAACGTGTCGGTGTTCGACACGTAATTTTTTTTTTTTTTTTCAAAAAAACGTGTAGGTGTTTTCTTGGTGGGTTGGGGGGTGGGTTTGATTGTAATAAGCCCATGAAGCATAAGAACCCCTATGATCTAGTATCCCATTTTCTGTGAAACTGGAAAAAAAAAAAAAAAAAACTTCCCAGAGTCTTTTGGCTTTTTAAAATCCAGTGGCCAAGTTATTTTCACGACTGATATATATCAGCAGCTTCTTTGTCCTATACATTGTGTTCACTGCATATTCTGTGGGATATTCTCACTTTATCTATTTCACAATCATCAAGTTGCTAGAATCCTATTAACCCCATCGCACTCACAACAAAGGACAAACCCCAATAACCAAGACAATGTATTTGGATCACCCATCTCCAAATTACAACCACACTCGTTATTAATGTGCTCAATGAGTTATGTCTCAATCAGAATCAGGATGGTACAAACTAGAGACCCTTTTATAAATTTTAAGAAATTTACCACAATCTTGATACACTGTACCAATTTAAGAGAAGTTGAACATGCTTCCAAATACAAAAATAGAAAATTTCAGTTCACTTTTGTTCTGAGGAAACAACATGGTGTAGCCAGCTAAAAGGGGTGTGACTTATTTAACATCAAAACTGTCACTTTCTGTATATTTTCACCACTCTATAATTTAAGTTCCATACAACAGGAAAGAAGTAAAATAAAAATAAAAAGTCAGAAGAGAATAGCTACAACAGTTTAGTTACAAAACTTTTTTTTACAACATCTTGAAAAAATCAACAGCCAGGTGAAGTTGTGGTGGTCTGAGTGGAGGATGATGAGGTAGGGGAGTTTGAATTAACAGCCCCTTCACTGTGATTAGCCCTTTCTCCTGAATGTGAATGCTCAGACACCTCTAATTGTTTAAACTGTGCCTTCTTAATTGAAGGAGGAGTTGATGTGTGTGTAACAGCTGGAGGATGTGAAGCCACAGGAGCATAAATTCCAGTAGAAGCAGTAACTGTGGTCAATTCCCCTGATGCTGTTGAGGTTGCCATGGGAGCATATTCTGGTGGTTGAACAAAAATGTTCCCAACAAGGAACAAAGGAGCTGTTGGTGAATTACCATTATTGTGCATAATGGGGCTCCTTCTGGTGTGCAGACGAAATTTCTGTCCAAAACCCACAATAGAAAGAAATTTTAGACTATATTTGGGAACATAAAACTAAAGGAATTTGCTGTTACTTCTGCAACAGAAAATACTCCAATTATACTAACATGGTGATCTTAAAGGCTTATCTATATTTGGAAACATATTATAAACACATGCCTTAATAAACCAATCTTCAGTCTCAGTTTTGTTCCAGCAACATAAAAAGAATATTATACCAGATCATAGAAATGGGGGAAGAAATTAAAATGAACAAGTACTACACTAACCTGCAAATGACTTTTGACTTCATCATTGGTGAGACCATCAACCTTCATTTGATCCCTGATCTGTTTAGGTGTGGCAGCTGTGACATACACCAAATATCAAAACATCAAAACACACAGTTACAATTGCATGCGGAACAACACATAAATAACAAGAAGAACTTGGTTTTTCTAAGATACTCACAATCTGCACCGCCAAGTTGCTGAAGGGCATGCAAGAAGCGCTTGTGCAATTCCTGTGACCAACACCGGCGCTGCTTTCTCTGATTCTGTCCTTTCTCCTCTCTTTTGTTGCTCACAGCATTTTCTACTCTGACTGGTCCTGTTGAACTTGTAGCAGGTACTGGTGGTGAAGAGGGTGCTTTAACAGCTGGTGATATATTAGCCTTTCCATTAGTACTTTCCTCTTTGTGGAATGGTTGGAAAGCACCACCATTTCTCTTCACTTCCACAACATTTGTTTTTCTAGGCACATCCTGAACCAAAATTTCAGAACAGTCAAAATTCAATTTCTATTAAGCACCAATCCAATTCAATCAATTCAACTTTGGTAAAAAAATTTCTTTACCTCTTTAGCAGGAGTGGGATCATGATGCCACAACTGAACAGATCTGAGCCAATCCGATTTCTTTTTATCAGTGATGTTCATGCTCTTATTCTTATGAGAATGTTGGTCATCATCATCAACAACATCATCATCATCTTCTTCTTCTTCTTCTTCAGGGGATGCTATTTTCTTCATAGGAATGAACTCCTCAAAAACTGGGCCTTCTTCCATTGATGTCTGCTCCGAACACTCCGATTGGCCATACAAATTGCACTCCGTCGTCGTTCCTGACAACTGTTGCCTACATGCTTCAATGGCTGCATCAAATTCACAAAAAAAAAATAAAAAAAATAGAAACCCATCAAAACCCACATCTGAAAAAAAGAAAAAACATACACCCAGAAAGGAAAGAAAGAAACTTTAACTTTGAATCAAAAAAGGGTGTCTATTTTTGTTTTTGTTTTTTGTTTTTTTACCTTGCGTGACAAGCTCCAATGACAGAGGAAGTTCTCTGGGGAAAACCTGAATTTTTCTTCTTTCTTCCTCCAATGCTTCGATGTAGTCACGGAATTCCATCTTATGGGGTTGCATTTTTTCGGCGAATTGCATTGAAACCAGGTTTTTTTGTTGTTGTTGTTGATTTTTAATAGATTGTTGTTGTTGTTTTTGAGTTTCAGTTGTATAGGTGTGTCAAAGAAAACAGTTTGAGGAAGAGGGTGAAGAGAAATATATAGGCAATGGCGTTCCGTATAAGCATAGAAAAGAAAACGGATTCAACTATGAAGAATATGGGATCTAAGTAGAATCAAATATAGGAATAAACTTGCAAGAGAGAGAAAAGGGTGGAGAGTAGAGAGAGAGAGAGAATGATCGTAGGGTGTAGAAGAATTAGGGAAACCATCAAGGTCGTGGCGTCGCGTATAGAAACGAATCTTTGATGATGAGTTTTATATTCTTGCCTTGTCTTTTTTTTTTTAACATTATATGACTCTCTCTCTGTCTCTCTCTCTCTCGTGTCTTGTCATTTATTTTATTCAAAATTAGATAAGGAAATAATGGGGGAAGAGATAGAATAGAGAGAGGTTTGGTTCCTTTGAATATTCCAGGATCTGATTCGCTTTTTATTACACTGTGGGCTGGCATTTTCGTCAGCGTTTGTTTTCTCTCGTTCCATTCTTTCTCTCTTTCTCGAGTTTGTTCATCCATTGGATAAGATCAAAGACTCTTCTTATCTTTCGTTGCGTGTTGCAATTTTGATAATTGTTTCCTTTCTCCCTTCACCAAAGTTAAATTTTTTGGGTTAAAGCGTAATATATGCCAATATAGGCTTCACAAAATTTAACATGTGTATAGAAAATAAAATTATCTTCTATAATATGAAAAAATTAAGCTCATATATATATAGAGGTAGGATCCTTTGACACCGGTATCAAATTTCAATTTTGACACATCATCTGAGAGTCGTTAGATCAAAAAAGATCAATGGTATCACATTGCTTGCAAATCAGAGTCGTTGATCTTTTTTGATCTAACGGCTCTCAGATGAGGTGTCAAAATTGAAATTTGACACCGGTGTCAAATGATCCTACCTATATATATATATATATATATATATATATATATATATATATATATATATATATAGGGCTTATATTTCTGCAGCTACTATACGTGTAGCATTCAAATACTTACTATATATATATATATGGTAGGATCCTTTGATACCAGTGTCAAATTTAAAATTTGACACCTCATCTAATAGTCGTTGGATAAAAAAAGATCAATAATATCACATGCTTACTAATCAGAGTCGTTGATCTTTTTTTATCTAAAGGCTCTCAGATAAGGGTGTCAAAGGATTCTGCCTCTCTCTCTTTCTCTCTCTCTCTCTATATAGGCAGGATCCTTTGACACCGGTGTAAAATTTAAAGTTTGACACCTCATCTGAGAGTCATTAGATCAAAAAAGATCAATGGTGTCACATGCTTACAAATCAGAGTCGTTAGATAAAAAAGATCAACGACTCTCAGATGATGTGTTAAACTTTAAATTTGACACTACTGTCAAAGGATCCTACCTTTATATATATATATATATATATATATACACACGTGAAAACATTAAATGTCGGAAACATAACTATACAAAAGATGAAATCATTAAATGTGGAAAATCATAATCATACACCTGTCATCTATGATGCACGGACACGGACACGGGACACGACACGCCGACACGTTAATTCTAAAAAATGTCATATTTCGACACGTTGAGACACGTTTTGATATTAAATAAAAATTTTAATATATATAATATAATTTATATTTAATACATATAATAATACATAATAACTTATATAATTAATCAAATATTTAAATTTTATAACATAAATTTGAAAAGAAAATTTTTATCCCTTAAAACATAAAGTGAAAAATAGAGTTATTAATTAAGCCACAATTAATGATCTGTTCAAAATTTGAAAAACACCTATACGTGGCATACTCATCTTTCAAGTAACATTGGATAACAACTCATTTTTAATAAAAAAGAAAAAGAAAAAGAAACTATGGATACCTCGTTTTTAGCGGCCACTAGCCAGTACGTGAGGATAAGACGAAATAATAAAAAAATAAACCGTTTTGTTTTCTTTCTTCTTCTTTCTTCATTTTTTTGTTTTCTTTCTTTCACTTCTGTTTCCTTCGTTCTGTTTGCAGCTTGACGATGGCGGTTTCCTTCATACTATTTGGAGCTTGACGACGGCGATGGCATGCGCCTGTGTTATTTGATGTCTCCTTCTTCTGTTTGGAGAGATCAATGGTGGATGATGAAAGTGGAGAAAATGAGGCTGAGATTGCCTAAGATGGACCCTTGCACACCATGGAAACATTGGAAGAGGTTTTTCCGGTCGGTACACAGATTTTAATTTTATAAAATATCAAAAAATTTACATTTTTACCCTTTGACCGTGTTGGACACGGTCAAAATCGCGTGTCCAAAAAGTCAACGTGTTCCAAATAATTGACCGCGTGTCGGACGCGTGTCCAAACGTGTCGGAACGTGTCCGTGTCGGACACGTGTCCGACACGCATCTTTTCTAAAAAAAGACGTATTCGTGTATCAGAGCATGTCATTACTGTACGTAAAGCAGCTGTAGAAATAATTTTACCATATATAGGGCTTATTGTTTTTCAAGTTACTTAAGATAACTTTATCTCCGGTTACTAAATCGTATATCAATGGTGATAAAGGAAGAGAGAGAAAAAGAAATCATAACCATTCAAAGGTGAATCAATTAATACAAGAAAATAAATAAACAAAATAACGTAGTTTTTTGATGGACGGATATAAATATATCTCAAGTTGCTCATGCAATAGGAAATAGATTTCTTATGTTACGAGACATCAAAATTCTTGCTATGTTTTTTATTTTTTTAACAAGTGATGGGTTCAACAACTTGTTGAGTTTATGGCATGAGAGATGTTATCTCATGTGACATGAGAAAATATAAGCCCATATATATATATATATATTTATATATATATATATATATATATATATGTATATATATGGGGCAGGATATTCTTACACCAGTGTAAGAGTTATAAGTTTTACACTCAATCTTGAGCATTGATCCACTTGTATCCAATGACTCACATTACTAAAAAATTAGAGCCCTTAGATATAAGTGAGATCCACAATCAAGATTGAGAGTGTAACTTACACTGTTGTAAAATGATCCTAACTCCATATATATATATATATATATATATATATATATATATATATATATATATATATATATATATATATATATATATATGATAAAATTATTTCTGCAGCCGCTTTACGTACAACAACGACAAGTGCATGGTTATGATTCCCCGCATTTAATGCTTGCAAGTATATATATGGCAATTATTTTATTGCTTCACGTACAACAGCTGCAGAAATGTAAACCCCTATATATATACATATATATATATATATAGGTAAAATCATTTCTGCAGTCACTTTACGTATGGTTATAATTTCTCACATTTAATGCTTTCATCCTTTGTATGATTATGATTCCCCGCATTTAGGTAGTGTTTGGTTGGGGAGAAGTTAAAACTTTGCTGGCTAAGTGCATGTGGGAATCTGAGTAAACCACGTTTGGTTGGGGATTTTTGGAAAATATGCCCATCAAACCCACTTGCCCTGCAATGCAAGAAGAAGTGTAAAAATTGGATTTGAGCACTGTTGAAGAAGCCGTTTCAACAGGTGGTATTGGTTTAGGAAATCAGATATGTGAAAAAGGTGGAGAATGGGGTGACAAATATACATCTCCTTCTTAACCACACGTTCACAAGTTTTCTTATCTTCGTTTCCCTTTTTCTTTCTTTCAGTAAAGAAGCGCACTTTGATTTGTTAAACTGGCTAAAACGCATTATTAATAAACTAAAGTTTTGGTAAGTGAATTTGGCAGCTTGGATAACCTCTATCTTTCTTGCCGTTGGGTTGGGTCAATAAGTTTGTAAAATAAAAAGGGTTATTTAGTCGGAGGGTTATTTTGTAATTTCACTAAATTTACCCATCAATATTTTATCTTCAACCAAACACACATTCAAGAATTTCACATAATTTTCCTGGTAAATTTTTACTCAACCAAACAACCTTTTTTACATTTTCCTACCAAACTCACTTTCCAACCACTTCCCTATCAATTACATTTTCCTATTAATCTAAAAATTTCTCCTCAACCAAATGCCCCCTTAATGCTTTCAAGTATATCTATGGCAAGTATTTGATTGTTGCACATACAACAGCTGCAGAAATGTAAACCACGCACACACACACACATATATATTTTGGACTGACCATGTATGTTTAGTCCATTGGGTCAGCCACCCAAATTTATATAAAGCATTATACATTTGTTTTTGGCTTTAATGTTTCTGCAGTGAACGTAAATAAGTTATCTACATTTGCTCCTAAAACGACGTCGTTTTGAGTTAAGAAATAAAAAAATTATAATGAAAAAGACTATTATAACACTAAAATAAATTATAATTATAAAAATACCTTGATTTCTGTCTCAAAACAATATCATTTTGGGCTCAATGTAAATAAATTATCTACATTGACTGTAGAAAAAGCGAACACTTTGTTTTTCTATAGTGAGAATTTTTAAACCCTCATTATAAAGAAACTCACTTTTGTATAATGTACCTTACACACTAGGTGAGTGTGCTTGTCTCACACCTGATGCCACTAACAAGAGCAAAATGATTATGATTTATCATGTTACTCATCATTGTGGAATCTGTCCTACCTATACATTTTTTCTTCTGAAATGGAAGACACATTCTACAAACCCATTATAAAGCTATTACGCTGAATTCTCTCCACACGTACCATCTTATAGTATTTGCTTGTCACATTACTAATTGTAATCTTACGATCATACTCCAAGGTATGAACTTTGGGCTCTACTACCTCTCAAGGCTAGCTTTTGGGATGAGGTTCTTTCAAGGTTCATATCAATTGGTATCATAGCCTTTCACTATGTTTCTCAGTTGCAATTGAACGACGCTGGTGGTGATGCTGGTATTGCAATTAGTGGTAGAGCCAAGAAATAAATCCAACAAATGCCAAAAAAATCCAGCTAAGTAGAACCCAACCACTGATTTCAGTGTTCACGCAAGGCTAGTAAATGACTAGTGCAAAGCCAGTCCGCTTGGGCGCCGAGACTGCGGAGCGTGTTGGAACGTTATGATCCTACTTTAAGATATGAGACCTGGAGTCCCACATTGGTTATACGGGTGACTAACATGGGATTTATATGGACTTTTGGCTCTCTTACCTCTTGAGGTAGCTTT